CCCTAGCCGGTTTGGCTCAGTGGATAGAGCGTCAATCTGTGGACTGAAGGGTCCTGAGTTCAATTCCAGTCAAGGGAACATACCATGGTTGCAGGGTCCTCCCTGGCCCGGGCCCTGGCCAGGGCTCATGCATGAGGCAACCAATCGATGTGTTTCTCTCGCATCGATGTTTCTGTCTGTCTTTCCCTCTCTCTTCCACTCCCTCTAAAAATCAATGGAAAAATATCCTCGGGTAAGGATTAAAAATAAATAAATAAATAAATAAATAAATAAAAGCAAAAGGAAAAAATATTCAGTTCTAATTGGAGGTGGGGACAAAGGGGGGGGTGTATTATGGAAGGCCGCCTGAAGATCACATGATAGGCTAAGATTTACCAAGTGGCCCAGAGAGGGGAGGACACTGCAAACAGAAGGAACAGCATGAATACAGCACAACAGGGACTCTCCCAGGAACCTGAAACACTTGGATATGGCTGTGCATTTCACTGGGGAGAGTGGCAGGAGATGAGGCTACACAGATAGGACAGAACTAAATCTTAACAGGCTGTAATTCTATACTGAGGAGTTTAGAGTGTATCCTAGAAGCAATTAGGAAGGTGGATAGATCAAGGGATAGATGTCGTCAAGTTTGTGTTTTAGAAAGAACCTACTCCCAGCTGGGTATATACACAAGAACTGGTTATATTTTCAACTCTTTTCTGTGTGTTTTATTTGTTTATTTATTTTTTAATCCTCACCCGAGGATATTTTTCCATTGATTTTTAGAGAGAGTAGAAGAGAGAGGGGAAGACAGAGAGAAACATCGATGTGAGAGAAACACATAGATCGGTTGCCTCCTGCACAAGCCCCAACCAGGGCTCGGGATGGGGAGGAGCCTGCAGGCAAGGTATGTGCCTTTGACCGGAATTGAAGCCCGGTACCCTTTGGTCCTTAGGCCAATGCTCTATCCACTGAGCCAAACCGGCTAGGCCTCTGTGTGTTTTATATCAATTTTTAAAATATATATATTTGCATTGATTTCAGAGAGGAAGGGAGAGGAGAGAGAGAGAGAAACATCATGATGGGAGAGAATCATTGATCGGCCGCCTCCCGCACGCCCCTTACCCGCACGAGCCTGCAACCAGGACATGTGCCCTTGACTGGAATCGAACCTGGGACCTTTCAGTCCGAAGTCCGACACTCTACCAGCTTGGGCTTATAACAATTAAAGAAAAACCCTCAACTAGCAGGACAGAGAGGGTCTGCAGGGGAGCAAAGCTGGCTACAGGGACCCGTTGGAGCCCATGGTCTACAGGAGAAGAGCTAAAAGAACTAAGAGTGGTGGGAGGAAATGAGAGGAGTGGCCTCAGAAGGAATGGTCAGGAGCTGAAGTCCACAGGACCTGGGGAGGGACTGGGTGTGAGGGATGAGAGAGGGCGGAGTCCAGGATGGCTACCAGGTTTCTGGGGTGGGTAACCAGAAGGAAGCATTCTTCAAAAATGTAGATAGAGATGGATGAACAGGTTCAGGAAGAAAGGTGAACACACATCACATTTACACATGTGCTGGAGAGGCCTGTCGGACATCTGGATAGAAATTTCTAGTAAGCAGGAATATTTATGAGTCTGAAGCTCGGGTATCATAGATGGCTAGAGTCATCGGCACAGAGCTGGAAGCCATAAAAGAGACTGAGTCTGTATAGGTAACGTAAGGAGAGTGTAGATGGGGCCATGGGGACACCAAAGTTTAGGAACAAGCAAGGGAATGAGGAGTTGGCCAGAGAGAAAGAGATAGAGAAGAAATAGTGACCCAGGGCAGAGGAGAATCGCGAGTTAAATAAACTGAAGATATTACATAAACGGAAGATTTGAGACAAACGATCGTTGAATTTGGCCCTAGTTCAACTCCGCCCTAGTGAACTTTGCCACAGAGGTTTCAGTGGCCTGTCTGGGGGCAAGAGCAAGGCTGCACTGGACAGGAAGGGGGAGGGGACCCTGCTCTTTGTTAAGAGACTCCCGGTGCGGTGCGGAGAAAGGAGATCCGAGATACTTGGAGGAGGACACGGGATTGAGGGCAGGGTATCGGTTTTGTTTTGAGACTGGAGAAACTTGAGCAAACTTACATGGTGGGGGTGGGGGTGGGAGGAGCCAGGAAAGAGGGAGAGTTGAAAACAGAGAAGAGAGAAGGAATAACTGCAGGACCAACGCCCAGAAGAATAGTGAGCGCACCGGCCAAAGACACACAGCAGCAGATTGAAAGACAAAAGGTGAAAGGGGTCAGAAAGAGGTCACACTGTAGGGATGGGATTGGGAAACCGAGGGAATTGATGCCAGAGCCTCAATTTTATCTGTGAAATAGGAAACTAAGTGAAAAAAAGAAGGCCCAGAGGGGTGGGTGGTGACTTGCATAACTGTTGGTTTGCAAACTGGCTCTCATACAGTGAAGGGAAGAAAAGATGAAAAAAGAGGCAGATCATACCATATTGGTGGTAGTTTTTTTTGTGTGTGTCTTTTTAATATATTTGTATTTATTTCAGAGAGGAAAGGAGAGGGAGAGATAGAAAAATCAGTGATGAGAGAGAATCATTGACTGGCTGCCTCCTGCACGCCCCACACTGGGGATCGAGCCCAAAACCTGAGCATGTGCCCTTGACCGAAATGGCATCCAACCCGGGACCCTTCAGTCTGCAACAGACGCTTTATCCACTGAACCAAACCGGCTAGGGCAGTGGTGGTTTTAATAAGCCAGGTAACTTACATACGAGGCTTGTCATGGGCAACTGCAAGATGAGCAGATCTCTGCACCACCCACCCGAATCTTAAAAGTTTACACAGAGGCCTTCACTGGGTTCCGTCCAGATGGTCTCACCAACAGCTCACTCCCTCACAGCTGTGCCCTTGAAAATGGCTCTGGCTGTGGGGGCGGTGGTCAGAACATATGCTCCAAGGACAGGGGAGGAGGTGAGGAGCCTCACACTGTGGGGGTCCAGCTCCCGTGTCAACCGCTGGTCACATCCTCTCAGTGATCTCCTCCAGCACAGCCCACAGGGAGTCAGTCCAGTGTCTGGACTCCTTGCCTGGTGCTCCTTCTATTCCTTCTGCTACACTCACTTACGTTGAAGATACCTTGCATCCCTTGAATGCCTTTTTCTAAATGGGGCTTTTGTACTTCCCTTTAAAAGACTATAGGCCAGGGGTCCTCAAACTACGGCCCGCGGGCCACACGCAAATACAAATATTGTATTTGTTCCCATTTTGTTTTTTTACTTCAAAATAAGATATGTGCAGTGTGCATATGAATTTGTTCATAGTTTTTTTTTAAACTATAGTCCGGCCCTCCAACGTCTGAGGGACAGTGAACTGGCCCCGTTTAAAAAGTTTGAGGACCCCTGCTATAGGCAAAAGGGACGTATGTAACACTTGCAACAATAAAGAATTATTTTTTAAAAATAAATGAGTAGATAATAAAAATGAAGATTACTAGGCAAGGCTGGCTTCACACACATGTAGAACGGGCCGCCTGTCACCAAGGACAATAAACTTGCCAAGATCCTGGACTGAGAGCCAGAACACTTTTTCCTCTAGAATGGGGACGACCGCAGAAGCTCACTCTCAGATCAGGATTCTGACTTAGTCATGCCACTTCAGAGTGCTGAGAGAATGTTTTTTAACACGCAAACTGTGATGATCGCTTCAGTGAAGAAGATTCTGGAAAATTACCTGGAGGAGAGATATTGGCAATATGGGGGAAGGAGTGGTTGGGAGTAAATTCTGGACAAGTCTCTTGGCCTCTCTGCCCATGTCCAAGGTCCCTTCTCACTGCAACATATTTGATGAAGAGGTGGGTCGGATCAAGGTACTGAAGTAGATTACTACAGCCAGCCCATGGAGCATACCAAGTGACCACAAAAAGTGAAGGAAGGACATAAATATTAGTACCATTATTTGCTTTGGATGGGCCCTGCCAAATGAAATAGAAATCGGCAGATATTCTGTAACTCAAGTCCAAATCGCTTCCCCTTAGAAAACATAGTTTGTGTCATTATTTATGTAACAAACATTAGGGAAAGGGAGAGGAAAATACCTTCATACCACAATCACAGATTTTAGAATAGGAAACGACTGATTCCAACCCATTAAGCCCAATTCACGGCTTTTTCTTCCCCAAGATTCTCATCTTCCCTTCTGTGATTTCTTCAACGATAGTAACTGGCTTCTATGGTAAACAGTAATACTCAGGCAGCAAAGAAACTGGTAACCAGCACTGGCTTGCTTCCTGCACTCTCCTGAAAGTAGTCCCTGACACAAAGAACTCCTTATGTGGGAGGATGACACCGAGGTAGAGAACTGGATTAAAATCTTGTAGAATCTGTTCAAAACAAACCCACGTAACCAGAGCCACGGGAGTACAGATGTGAATCCAAACCAATGCCTCACAGCCCTGGCCGGTGTGGCTCAGTGGATAGAGCGTTAGCCTGCTGACCAAAGGGTCCCAGGTTCTATTCCGGTCAAGGGCAGGTACCTTGGTTGCAGGCTCCTCCCCGGCCTGGGCCCTGATAGGGGCTCGTGCAGGAGGCAAACCAATCAATGTGTATCTCTCACATTGATGTTTCTCTGTCTTTCCCTCTCTCTCCCATTCTCCCTAAAAATCAATGGGGAGCCCTAACCGGTTTGGCTCAGTGGATAGAGCGTCGGCCTGCGGACTGAAGGGTCCCGGGTTTGATTCCAGTCAAGGGCATGTACCTTGGTTGCGGGCACATCCCCAGTAGAGGGTGTGCAGGAGGCAGCTGATCGATGTTTCTCTCTCATCGATGTTTCTAACTCTCTATCCCTCTCCCTTCCTCTCTGTAAAAAATCAATAAAATATATATATTTTTAAAAATCAATGGGGAAAAAAAATATCCTTGGGCAAGGATTAATTAAACCAATGCCTCATATAACCCGAAATATTTTCTTAGATCCAAGATACAAGAACTTTATGTAAGACACAAGAACTCTATCACGAGCTAGGGATCAGCCATATGACCTGGGTCCTACCTATGAGATGTACCTTCAAGAGGATTTTTCAAAAAGGCGCAATGTGAGGAGACAGGTACCTTGTGGAGTTCACTTCCTGGTGGAGAAGCTGCCGGAACAGAGCCTCTGCCTTCCGGGGGTCCACTCCCACTGTGCAGTCGGAAAGCCTGGGCTGTCAGCCGCAGTAAAGTCGCTTAGTGTGGCTAAAGATTTGTGGAGTAGAAAATGAAAAGGAGAAAAACAGTGTTTCACCGAGGAAAAAGCAAGGCCTTTGGAAGTATCAGGCTTGATCAAAGTCCTGCTGCCACTTACCAGCTGTGCCCTTGAATAAATCATATGCCCTCCTCAGCCTCAGTTTAACCATCTTTAAAACGGTCATTGTCCAAGGTCCCTCGCTGCCTCTGAAAGCAGGGCTCTTTCCATGCCAGGATTCGCCAGGCCTACTGGTGGTCTACTCCACCTCCAGATCACTGGGTCAAAGTGAGGCTTAAAAGCATGGATAAAATTAAGTTAATTTATGAAGTGACTAGAAGAAAAAACACTGAGATGTAGCGCTAGTAACAGAGATAGCAAAGTCAACTGACAACGGGCAATCTTCTGCATGTGCATCAACAGGCCCAAGGACATTACTCTGCAGCAGAATATCATAACTGGTGATAATAATGACCTTGAGTTGCCAAGCAAAGATCAATTTATGCCAAAACAAGAGCATTAAAATACTCTGGTTTTGGCATAAAAGTAAGTACTACATTCTATGTATACTTCCATCAAAAGTGGTTCCAGCCCTGGCTGGTGTGGCTCAGTTGGTGGAGCGCTGTCCCGTGCACCAAAAGGTTGCTGGTTCAATTCCCAGTCAGGGCCACATGCCCAGGCTGTGGACTCAATCCCCCCCGGTAAGTGGCACGCAGGAGGCAGACGATCCGTCAATCTTTCTCTTTTTCTCTCCCTCTCCCTTCCTCTCTCTCCAAAAACATTAAATAAATATTTTTTAAAAAATGGTTCCAATGAAAACATTTTTGATGTTTAAAGGCTAAGAGTCAGTTATCTGGAAAATTTCTATTCGTGGAACAGATTCTCTCTCAGAAAATGAGATGGAATAACTGATAAAATACCATAATATGAGAGAACATTATGGACAAAAATAGTTTCATTTGAAAATTGGCTGGAGTACCTAGAATTTTTCACAGAAACTCCCAGAAGCCAAGCTCCCAAGTGCCATTTATGAATTAAAAGAAAAGAAATACACACTTTTCTGTGTAAGTCCCGATTACCTAGAAATAATGCCATCACAAGCTGGCCTTCAGTCACTCTCCTTTTTCCAAATACCTGTCTCCTGATACCAGGCTGGGAAGCATTTTCCTGAGTTTTTCCATTGCTACATTACTACCCACACATTTATTCCAATCTTCTCTTCAAGTTTACATTTCCTATTCCTTCCTGAGGCGTAGGCCTTGGCCTTCTGCTTTTCTCTATAAATACTTCTCCTGCGGGAAAGATCATAATACACTGATTTCAACCCTTTTGTCTCATGGATGACTCATACATTTACAGCCTTTCTTTCTTCAGCTTCAGTTCTATATTTCTTTTTTTAATATATATTTTTATTGATTTCAGAAAGGGAGAGGGATAGAAACATCAATGATGAGAGAATCATTGATCAGCTGCCTCCTGCATGCCCCCTACTGGGGATGGAGCCCGAAACCTGGGCATGTGCCCTGACCCGGGAATCGAACCCTGATTTCCTGGTTCGTAGGTCGATGCTCAACCACTGAGCCATGCCAGCCGGGCCAGTTCTGTATTCCTAACAACCCCCTAAAATTTTTCTTTTGGACAGTTCACTACCATCTCAAATTGTACAAATCTTTTGGAGCTCTGAGCTCATTTTTGCTTTAAAACCAACTTATCCTCAGTCCCAAATTCCCAGGCTTAAGGAATTGGGAATCTTCCCTGATTCCTCCTAATCCTTTGCTCCTATGGTCTGCTCTGTGACTAAGGATAATAGTATCCAATTATTGTGACCTTGGTCTTCCCGCTCTCCCCTTTCTACCCAGCATCAAGACTATCCTATCTGCCCGTCCTTACGATTCTGTACACTGTTGCTAGGTTAATGTTTCTATAACCTTTACTGAGTGCTTCCTTTACACAAAGCACAATGTCACACGCTGCAGGATCCAGAAATGAATCAAATAGAAGTCTGTTGAAAGTCTAATGGAGGGAGGGGAAGACTTGTATGTAAATAATTTCAGCTTTAAGTTAGAAAGTGGTAAGAACTGAACGGGTGAAGTATCGGTGTTATGGGCAAAGGGAGAATGAAAGGGGAACAGCAGGAAATAAAGTTTTGCCTCCAAGGTAATAACTTTGGCCTTTAATCTACAGACAACAGGGAGCCGGTGATTTTGGATCAGAGCTGTGCTTGATTAAACCACAGCAGCTGCAGGCGAGATGGGCTGGTAGGGCGTGGGCTGGAGGAAGGGCCTCGCTGAGAAAGGTGCTGCATTTCCACTGTTCAGGGGATGATGACCGGAACTCTGGTAGCGGTTCTCAACCTGTGGGTCGAGACCCCGTTGGCGGTAGAACGACCCTTTCACAGGGGTCGCCTAAGACCATCCTGCATATCAGATATTTACATGACGATTCATAACAGTAGCAACATTACAGTTACGAAGTAGCAACGAAAATAATTTTATGGTTGGGGGTCACAACATGAGGAACTGTATTTAAAGGGCCAGAAGGTTGAGAACCACTGGATTAGGGGAAAGCAGCGGGTAATGTGGATGGATGTGAGAACTACTGCTGGGGCAGAACCGACAGAATTTAGTCACTGACGGGCGCAAGAAAGAAAATAAATGGCAGCAGGTACTGACATTCCGGTATCCACGCTGGAAACTGGTGCTAGTATTAAGAAAAAGGGTGCACAGTCTGGACAGCCATTTGGGAGGTAAGAGGCCAAGTCATGCCCTAGCCGGTTTGGTTCAGTGGATAAATCGTGGGCCTGCAGACTGAAGGGTCCTGGGTTCCATTCCGGCCAAGGGCACATGTCCCGTTGCGGGCTCGATCCCCAGTAGGGGGCGTGCGGGAGGCAGCCGATCAATGTTTCTGTCTCTCTCTTCTCCCCTCCTCTCTGAAATCAATATATATTTTAAAATATATTTTATTGATTTTTTACAGAGAGGAAGGGAGAGGGATAGTTAGAAACATCGATGAGAGAGAAACATCGATCAGCTGCCTCCTGCACACCCCCTACTGGGGATGTGTCCGTATCCAAGGCACATGCCCTTGACCGGAATCGAACCCGGGACCCTTCAGTCCGCAGGTCGACGCTCTATCCACTGAGCCAAACCGGTTAGAGTTATATTATTTATTATTATTATTATTTTTTTGTTTAAAGAGGCCAAATCATGTTTGGGGTATTCAGCGTGTATACATACACCTGCAGAGCATTGGAGAAGAAATTGGCCAAGCCCCTTGGAGGCTGCTGGGTCCTGACGAATTAGGCTGAAGAGGGTGGGGGTGGGGATGGGGTGTTTGGGCAAAAGCACCTACGAAAGGGACTATGAACTCTTACGGCCGAGGCCCAACCTGGCAGGAGGTGAAGGCACCGCGTCCCTGAAGCCACCGCTCAGCCTGGCGTCCTGCCGGAAGCAGCCTTTCCCTCCCTTCTCTGCAGAGTTCTCAACCTCCGTCCCTACCCGCCACCGGCTCCCAGTCACGGGGACTTAATACCCGGCGACGTCTTTTCCTGAACCGGCGCCAGGTAGGCGCCGAGCGCACCGGTTCCGTCATCGCAAGAGAGTCGCGCTCGGGAGTTTGCTCCGCCGACGGTTCAACTGTGAAAGCGCCACACGCCGAGCCCCACCTATCGCGAGACTTGACAGGCGCGCCTGCGCGGAGCTCTCCGGAAGCGGAAGTCAGGGGGCTGTCGGATTCCGTCTGACAGGAGTGGCTCCGCTGCCTCGGAGAGGTGAGGTGGGTGAGTGTGGAGTCGCTCTGACGCGTGGGGGGCCGGAGGTGGGTTTCCTGAGCGTTTCGCCCGCCGAGCTCGGCCCGAGCTGAGGCGACACCGCGCTGGGCCGGTGAGTTGCCGGTTTGGGCGCCGGGAAGGAGGGAGGCGGTCGAGCCGCGGTGCCCTCGGTCTGCGGTTCCAGGTCCGGGCGCTTTCGCCAGATCGGAAGCCCCTTACCCTTCACGGCCAGTCGTTTCCTCCGCGCTGGACGTCCACGGTGCGCCCTTGGGAGACCGGCTCCGTTGGGCTTTGCGGGGAAGTGACCATCGCGGTGGTTTCCAGTCCTTACCTTCCTCTGCCTCTGTTCACCTCCTGGGGCAGCGCAACCCCATTGTGGTGAGTCCTTTACCAGGTAGCCGCCTGCAGCCAGAAGAGCTCGGTGTGGTTTTATTTGTAGTAAATAAACTAATGTTGGGGCACAGATCTGAAAGGCAGTGCGCTTTTATTTCATGAAGTTGGTGCTCGCGCTGGAGCTGGCTCATTGGCGTTGCAGGCCCCGAGGACACGCCTCTGTGTCACCATCTAGCTCTTCACTGGCACTTGGTTGGTTTTGTTCATTCTCCCCCGAGGATATGTTCCCGTTGACTTTTAGGGAGAGTGGAAGAGAGAGGGAAAGACAGAGAGAAACATAATGTGAGAGGAACACAGCTATTGGTTGCCTCCTGGTCGCAGGGGAGGAGCCTGCAGCCAAGGTACCTGCCCTTGACCGGAATCGAACCGAACCCGGGACCCTTTGGTCTGCGGGCCAGCGCTCTATCCGCTGAGCTAAACCGGCGAGGGCCTCGCTGGCTCTCGAGTTAGCGTTGGAAGACTTCAGAGCGCATTTAATCCAATCCCTCAATTAACTGAAGCCCTTATGGCCCCTACCCACTACCCACCGCTTTTGAGTCTTTTCTTGAGAGTCACATGTTTTTTTAAAAAAAAATATTTTATTGACTTTTTACAGAGAGGAAGGGATAGAGAGTCAGAAACACCAATGAGAGAGAAACATGGATCAGCTGCCTCCTGCACACCCCCTACTGGGGATGTGCCCGCAACCAGGGTACATGCCCTTGACCGGAATTGAACCTGGGACCCTTCAGTCTGCAGGCCTATGCTCTATCCACTGAGCCAAACCGGTCAGGGCGAGAGTCACGTTTTGTTTTGTTTTCCCTCCCACGGATCTGGACAACCTAAACATTAAACAGCACAGCCTCAAATCCCGGGGATAAGTAAAGTTTGGATCAATTGAAATTCTATTTGTTTTTTTATCTTAATTAAATTTCTTGTGGTAACATTGGTAAATAACATCCTATTTAAATTTCATTCTCACGAGTAATGCTAAATATGTTTACTTGTGGGAGAACATAAAAATAGAACGGCACATTTGCCTTGCCTTAGGATTCTTACTGCCCATCTGGTTAGGTATGGGCCATCTTTCTGAAGATTTCTGTGATCCCTATAGAAACTCAGACATGAATCTTAATTAGTGGAATTTATTCTAAATCATACATTGGATTTGAGATTTTGACAGCAGTTTGCCAATCCCAGACACATGGAAAGTCTGGTGTTTAATAGGCATACTCGCTAAGACAGCAGTAGCCTGAAAGGTGAAACATCTCTGTTTCTTGCATCCAAGCAATAATTTCATTCTAATTTTGTTGGGATAAAGGTAGTATTATAAATATTTGCATATTTGGAGGGATTTGGGGGAAAAGACAAATGAATGAAGCAGCCTTTTTCCAATATCACATCTCTTTGTCAAAGACTGTGTCATATACATTAAAATACAGGAAGAAAAATAAGTTTGGGGATGTCAGATAAGAGGGAGATTTTGGGTTCAAAGTTTTAGCATGATGTCACAGGTGCCCCGAATCAGACAACAGGTTTTAGGAGTCTTGAGGCAAAGAGCAAAGAGATGGGTTTGGGCTGGGACAGGTAGAGGACGGGAATACTGACTCTGTTTGGTTGAAGAAGACGAGAGGTGAGGTCCACCTACAGAATCCTGCGAGGGCTGGCTGCCAGGATCTGGGTGAAGAGGAAAAGAAGTGAACTCTTTGTCCCCTGGTTTTTCAAGAATTAGGCCTGTGCAGGCTAAGCCAGACCTTTTCTTAGATGCAGAGGGCTCTCTGAAAATGTGGGTTATTGAGTGAATCCATAATTGTCCTGGAAAACCCAGCTGATACAGATTGCAGGGGTTTTTTTTTAATGTATTTTTTAAAATTAATTTTAGAGAGGAAGGGAGAGGGAGAGAGAGATAGAAACATCAGTGATGAGAGAATCATTGATCAGCTGCCTCCTGCACGCCTCCTACTGGGGATGGAGCCTGCTACCCTGGGCATGTGCCCTTGTCTGGAATCAAAACCAGGACCCTTCAGTTCGCAGGCCTAACGCTCTATCCACAGAGCCAAACCGGTGAGGGCCAGATTGCAGTTTTTATAGCCATTAGATAACATCTGTAGTAGTTATTTTTCATTCGTCAGCGAATCTGGGACTAGAATACATTGGATAGCATCCTAAAATACCTAATCTAGATTTTGCATTTTTAAAAAATTAGCTCTTTCTTTCTCTTCCTTTATATAATCTCGGGTATTTTATCCTGGGAGAAATAAGAGCTAGTCTTCCAGTAACCCCTTAACCATGGCCTTGTCTTTTATTCCTGTTTTCAGTCAAGCTCCTGAAAGCTTAAGCCTATAATCAGTGTAGATTTCTACTTCCTTACCTTCCAGTTACTTCTCAATTACAGTGGGGCCTTGACTTACGAGTTTAATTCGTTCCGTGACGGAGCTCGTAACTCAAATTACTCGTATGTCAATTCAATTGTGAACGAGTGAGACACGTGATGCTGGGCTGATGTTGTGGCGTTCACTGTGACGTTTGCTGCTTCAACTAGCGGTGGGGTATCTGAAGCTGGCTTGTAACCCGAATTTTAGCTCGCAACTCAAAGCAAAAAATCGGCCGAGAGATGCTCGTATCTCGAAAAACTCGTTAGTCGGGACACTCGTAAGTCAAGGCCCCACTGTAATTGTAATCCTCCTTCAATCTGTACTTCTCTAAAATAATCACCTCCTAACGGCTAAACCCAATTAATTTTCTCTTCTTGCCAAACCGGTTTGGCTCAGTGGATAGAGCGTCTGCCTGCGGACTGAAAGGTCCCGGGTTCGATTCCGGTCGGGGGCATGTACCTTGGTTGCGGGCACATCCCCAGTAGGAGGTGCGCAGGAGGCAGCTGGTCGATGTTTCTCTCTCATCGATGTTTCTAACTCTCTATCCCTCACCCTTCCTCTCTGTAAAAAATCAATAAAATAAATTAAAAAAAAATTTTCTCTTCTTGGTTCCATCACTGCTATTCAACACTGATGACCATTCACTTTTTATCCTCACCTTCTGTGATCTCTTCTGGTTCTTATCTGTGTGTGTCTTTATCAGGGTATGTTATCCTGTCCTTTCTTTATCTTCTACTGTTGATGTTCTCCAGGATTCTGTTCTTTGGTATTCTTCTTATTCCTACTCCCGAGGAATCCATTCATTCTCACAACATTAACCGCCAACAAATTTGCTGTTGTCCCCATATTCATCTTCAAACCAGTTCTCAGTCCCAAATAGTTAACTTTGAACTGACTCTCCAAGTGGATGTATGTACTTTTTTTTTTCCCCAGAGAGGAAGGGAGAGGGAGAGCAAGAGAATCATTAATCAGCTGCCTCCTGCAGGCCCCCTACTGGGGATTGAGCCCGCAATTTGAGCATGACCAGAATCAAAACCAGGACCCTTCAGTCCACAGGCCAACACTCTATCCACTGAGCCAAACCAGCTAGGGCGGATGTATGTGCTTTAACTAACTTCAAACTCAGTGTACATCTTCACCCATCCTTCTTTCTATAGTTCCTATGGCACCATAACCTATCCAATCATTTAGCCAGAAGCATGGGAGTTATCCTTTATTTCCTTTTCTCCTCCCAACATCTAGTCAATGATTAATGCCTCCTGAAATCCTATCTAATAAAAGAGAAACATGGTAATTAGCCGTACAGCTGCTACCCTTCCCATTGGCTAATCAGGGAGATATGCAAATTAACTGCCAGCCAAGATGGCGGCCGGCAGCCATGCACTGAAGCGAACAGGGAGGCTTGCTTGCTCCAGTGACTGCGGACTCCAACGTTCCCCGCCTGATTTGCCGGCCTCTCAGCTGCAACTCTAAGCAACTATGTTGCAAATATAGAAGCTAAACAAAACCCCAGAAACCTGCTTTAGTCAGCAGGCTTCAGCCAGACGGACCGCAACATTGTATCAAATACAGAAGGTAAACAAAGGCCAGAAAGCTGCTTTCAGCAGCCGAAGCCTCAGAGCTAAAGCTGGCCCAGAATAAAAAAAAAAAAGAAAAAAAGGAGTGGTTGGGAGTTTCAGTCATCCGACAGCCTGAAAACGGCCCTCAGCCCCTCAGCCAGACTGGCCAGGCACCCCAGAGGGGACCCCCACCCTGATCCAGGACACCCTTCAGGGAAAACCAGCCAGCCCCCACCCGTGCCCCAGGCCTCTATTCTATATAGTATAAGGGTAATATGCCTCCC